TAACCTCTCCCTAACAAAAAATTAAAAAAAAAAGTTAAGAAAATATTCATGCACTAAATCTTAGTTCCAAATTGGGATGGCAAAGACATAGCCACAGATTTCCATCAAATTCAATTAACAGAGAGAAGGAACAAGATGGTCTCAGGTGATCCACTCACCCTTCCTTTTCAGTAGAAATCAAAGTAAGTGATGACACAGACAAATTTATAAACTGCTTCTTTTTCCCCTCTTGTAAAACATAAGTCCCTGAGAATGATAATAAGAGGAAAACTTGCTATTGAGCTAACTGTTTTAATCGGCACCGAATAACAGTATCTCACATTTAGCTAACATTTACTAAGTGCCTGCTTATTTAACAAACATTGTTTTAAGTGCTTTACAGGAATTAACTCATTTAACCTCAAGAGAACCTCCTTCTTATTAGAAAGGTTCCATGGTTATTCTTACTTGACAGACCAGAAAACCAAGGTAGGGACAGGCGCCTGAGTTTGTCCACAGCTAGGGAGTTAGGAAGGGGCTGAGTCTTGATTCAGCTTTCAGGAGTCTGGTTTCCAGCTCACTCGCTGCTCAGCCCTCCCCACGCTGCACTGGTTTCTGTGCGGTGGCTAAACCTTAGCATGGTCATCTTTCTCCAGGAGCTATTTAGCATATAGATGCTGACTAGCCCTTTAACTTTGTCATCTTTTTAGCATGGCAATCATGCACACTAAGCACTGAGGATCTACGTTGTTTTGCCCTTGTTCTCTACAAGAGTCTGGACTGACTTTTTAAAGCATGCACACAACGTGGTTGTGCCTGAGCAATGGCAGCCACGTTCGTGCTACAAGGACATGTGGCTCTTGTGTCTCTTCCTGTTGAATCTGTGCCCTCTGGTCTTTCTGTATTTTCTATCAGTCGTTTTTGGTTTGCTTGCCTGGGTATCTTGCCCAGTACCTGTGCCTACTAAATCAAACTTGCTTTTGACAGGTAATTTGTATAGTTTTTTGGGATGCAGGAATCTCAGAAATGTTTTTGTATCTCCAGTGACTTTGTGTGAACTGGATGATGATGGGCCAGAAAATTATTCCCATAGCTTTACAGAAATCACTACATGGCTGGCACCATGATTGTGGTGGCGGCAGCTTAAATGCTGTGTTTGACTCGTATGCAGTTTGCCAGACTGAAATAATTGTAATAACCTTCAGATCTGACGTGTACCCTCTTTGGTGGGTGGCAGATCCCTTTCTAAACATGTTTCCTCATGGAGCAAATTCCCTCCAGGGTTTATATTTCTTAACTACCTTTTTTTTCTCAGTTTTTCTTTTCTTTTTTTCTTTCTTTTTTTGGTAGGGGGAGGCAATTAGGTTTATTTATTTAATTTTTTTTAATGGGGGTACTGGGGATTGAAGCTAGGACCTCGTGCATGCTAAGCATGCACTCTACCATTGAGCTATACCCTCCCCTCCTTAACTACTCTTTATAGTAAACATCATCCCATAATGGTTACATTTGCTTGTTAGCAGTAAAAGGTGTGTGTGTGAGTAAATACAAAAGTACGTATCTACTTCATATCTGTTTTCACTGTATCATCTAAGATTCACTCGTTCTGCAAGGATCAGTGATGCAGAGTAATATATAATCAAAATACTAAATAATTTTGTTAATTTCAGGGGGAAATGCCTGATTTATCTGATTCATTCACATGGTCATTTAAAAAATTTTAATTATCTGGATAATTTCAGTTCCCCATGTTACAACTCCGAGTTCAGAAAAAGAAAGTGTGAATTTGGCAGATATGTTGCCAGTGATTGATAACTAGCAAGTATTTAACGAAGTGAACATGGTGGCTTACCATATTCTTTTGGTCTTAAAAAATGCTTAAGAAAATAAGTGTTTCTCCCTGATTATTTTTTCCAAAATTTTGGAAAGCATAGGTGTTATGATGTCTGGCCTGTATGGGATCTAACCACTTCAAAATCATGCACACAAACAGCTGTACTATGGTTTTGTGACAGGTTTTGAAAAATAATAAAATCTAGGCCAATCATAATTCTAACAAATGATCCTTATGTATATTTTCTCTGCTGCCAAAATTTCAGAGATGTTACATAAAGTGAAAACCGGACAAGACTTCTGGTTACCATCAGACCTTTGGAATTTCAATAGAAACCAGAAACTGTGTTAAAAAAAAAACTTCTTAATATTTTATGACCATGTTTAACGTCTCACAATTTATTTTTTTTTCGGAAGGTGTGTTTATTATTTCCTATCTGACTTTCCTCAGAATGTAGCAGTAAAATTCTGAAAATGAGAAGAGTCCATAATATTTAGCCCAGGTCTCTACTCTGAGTTCCAGATGCACAAATACAGCTGCCCTCGTGCTGTGAGCTGGTGGGTAATGCTTACAGGTTGCAGTGCCCGCAAACCACAATGGGTCTCTTGCTTCCTCCCCCAACTTCCACTGAAACCTGCTCCGACTCTTGGCCTCCCCAACTGAGACAAGGACACTGCTATCCACACAGCTGCCATGCCAGAAACCTTATTTACACATTTGTGTCCAAGTATATAGTCTACCGAGCGTAAAGAGCATAAAATGTCTGCGTCTGAAGCATTTGGCTCAAGAAATCTCTACTTATAAATATACTTATGGTCCTTTTCAAGATACCAGAAGGTTCCTTTGGGACCCTGAGGAGTCAGTGATTTCTAAACCTTCATCAAGTCCCAACTCCTCCTCCTCTATAATTTTTCTTGAGTCTTGTCACCGGCCTCCACCTCCACCATTCTCACTGTGGTCATCAATCACCTGGCTGACTCCAGTAACTTTTCTGCCTACTTTTGCGTTTGCCAATTCCTTACCTCCACAGAGTGATCTTTAAGAAACCACAGCCCTGATCATTTCACTCCCCTTCTTCG